GGGGTGAAGGAGGTGACAGAGATAGGGAGGGGGGTGTAGGCGGTGGAGGAGGTGACAGAGATCGGGAGGAGGTGTAGGGGGCCAGAGAAGGTGACAAAGTTAGGAAGGGGGATACAGTTCTGAGAAGCTGGAGCCAGTGGAGGGTGGATGTAGGGAGGTGAGGGAGAGGAAAAGGAAGAGGGAGAGGGAGAGGGAGAGGAAGAGGGAGAGGGAGAGGAAGACTGCCTTGGATCCCTCCAGGTCCTAGACTCAAGCCCCACACTCTCACCCCACGTGGGTTCCCACCAACTCCGCCATCCGAGCCGATAAGAAGCGCCAAGTTTTCCATTCAGATGCACGGGGTTTTGGCCAGGGGTCGGGGGTCAGGCGTTCATGGTATCCCAGAATCCCTCAGTTTGAGATCTGCTCCTCTTGCCAGGTCGAGGTGGGAATGGCGCTGTAGGGGTCAACGACCATGCGGGCGCAGCGGAAGATCATGGCGAGGAGGAAGAGGCAGAGCAGGGCCAGGAATGCCAAAGCGAAGCCCTTGTCCAGGTCGATGTAGCTATGGCTCCCATCCTGACCGGCGGGCATCGTCGTCCTGTCACTCTGTGACCTGCGCGAGTCACCCTCGTCTCTCTCTGTGCGCAGCCTCACGGCGCTGACCGTCACAAATGGGATCTTCCTCCTGCCCGGAGAGAGCACAGCGAGTTACAGCAGGCACAGTGCGAGGGACAAACAAGGAGCGACCCAGGAGGCCAGTCAGCCCGTCGACCATGCAATACCATTCAGTGAGATCATGGCTGATTTGTGGCTGAAGTCGATAAACCTTCCTTTGGCCCATATCCCTCAGTAGATTTGTTGAACAAACATTTATCTCTCTCCGATGTGTGGAAAGAGGCCATTCAGCTCATTGGGTTTGCACCAGCCTTCTCAATACCCATGCACATATAATCCTGCTTCTCTCACGGCCAATCCACCCTAACCTGCACATCCCTGGGCACTACGGGACAATTTAGCACGGCCAATCCACCCTAACCTGCACATCCCTGGGCACTACGGGGCAATTTAGCACGGCCAATCCACCCTAACCCGCACATCCCTGGGCACTACGGGACAATTTAGCACGGCCAATCCACCCTAACCCGCACATCCCTGGACACTATGGGACAACTTAGCACGGCCAATCCACCCTAACCTGTACATCCCTGGGCACTACGGGACAATCTAGCACGGCCAATCCACCCTAAACTGCACATCCCTGGACACTACGGGGCAATCTAGCACGGCCAATCCACCCTAACCTGCACATCTTTGGACTGTGGGGGGAAACTGGAGCACCCGGAGGAAACCCACGTAGACACGGGGAGAATGTGCAAACTCCACACAGACAGACGCCCGAGGGTGGAATCAAACCCGGGTCCCTGGCACCGTGAAGCAGCAGTGCTCACCACTGAGCCACCATGCTGCATCTTGAAGGTATTTTCTTAAAGACTTAGATCAGGTCACCTTTTAGCCTTTCTCGAGAAAATAATTCTAAATTGTAGAGTCTCACATCACAACTTAAACCCTGAAGCCCAGGATCTTTCTCATAAACCTATGTTGTCCTCCCTCTGAGGCCAATCTATCAATCCGACGCTGCGGTACCCAGATATGCTCAAAGGGCTTTAAGTGGGGTCGAACCAGGGTTTTGAATAACTGCCGTATAACTTCTGTCACCTTCTACTCCAGTCTTTGAGATATAAAGGCCTGCACTCCATCAGCCTCCTCGAATACTCCTGTGTTTGTTTGTGACATTTCAAAAGATCTATACATCTGAAACACTCATCTCTCTTTGGACATCCATTGTCATTAAATTTGTACCATCCAGAAAGTTCCTGGATCTGTCCTGGTTCAGCGCAGGATGGACACTCTCACACTTGCTAACATAATAGATACTGCTACCACACCAACTGCTCGAATCCACAAGCATCATATCCCCCCCAGGGCAGCAGGCACAGTCGGAGGGTCAGCGGTGAGGGAGCGATAGTGCCCACACCCTCATCACTGACCCCCCCCCAACAGCACCAGTTCCCTCAGCCCTGACCCTCTGACAGTGACCGCTCCCTCAGCCTGACCGTCCAACAGTGCCCGCTCCCTCAGCACTGACCCTCTGACAGCGCCCGCTCCCTCAGCCCTGACCCTCTGACAGTGCCCACTCCCTCATCACTGACCCCACTGACAGTGCCCTCTCCCTCAGCGCTGACCATCCGACAGCGCCCGGTCCCTCAGCCCTGACTCTCCGACAGTGCCCGCTCCCTCAGCCCTGACCACCCCGACAGTGCCCACTCCCTCAGCGCTGACCCTCCGACAGTGCTCGCTCCCTCAGCGCTGACCCTCTGACCGCACTCATCCCTCAGCACAGACTCTCCGACAGTGCCCACTCCCTCAGCGCTGACCCTCCGACAGTGCCCGCT